ATAAGAGAACACAGTACCGTTTCTGCCACAAAATGAAGTGAGCAACGAGTAAACCTAAGCAATCTGAAAACAGAAACAGACACCAATACTTTCAAAACATTTCCTTTTCTATGCTTTTCTGTGACACTGAAAAAGAAAATACTGCCTTTTATTCCTTTTTCTGAATTGAAATTTTATGAGCATAACTAGTCCAGAAGGAAACTGTCAGACCATAAACTGCATACTCTTGAGAAATTCATAACTGAGCCTACAGTTGAAAGCAACTATGAAACTACTTAGAAAAAAACATTTAAATTGTGGTAGTATTGAGTTGGGAGAGGCACGCTGCCAGGTACTGTGGTCTTAAGCCATGTAGAGCTTTATAGGTTACAACTATCACCTTGAATTGCGACCAGAAGCATACAGGCAGCCAGCGCAGGTGGGCCACAACAGGTCTCACATATTCTGACCTGTGGGGTTCCAGTTCTTAGTCTGTCGGCTGCATTCTGCACCAGCTGCAGCTTCTGAACTGGCTTCTACAAACCATCCACTACAACTTATTAGAAAACAGAGATGAAGAATGACAGAAAGACCATGTGTTACATTCAGGAGCAGACTTCCATTCACACAATAGGGCTGTCCCCTAACATTATATTCACATACAAAAAAACTTATTAGCAGCATGTCCCATTACATGCTCAAGATACTATACATGGTAATTTTAACTGGGATATAAATGTATCTGGTACAGCAACTCAGAAAAACTATATGAATCACTTTGATGTTCTATGAATTTAGTCACAATAGTTCAAGTTCTTTCTAAATTGGCTGTTCATGGTATATACAGAGTTAAAGTACCAAAGGATGCATTAATAAAATAAGTACCAGTGCTGCTTTTCCATTCATTCAGCATCTCTGGAAAACATTAAAAGCTTCATGGATCTTAGCATTCTGTCTCCATGTTCTTAAACAAGGCCAAAGGGCAGGGTCTCTGGGCTGCACCCCATAGCTCAAATTTACAATTTTAATCAACTGAAATGTAGTAACTAAAAGATATTAACATCTTCCAAAACAAATTGTATAACCTTCCATTTTGCCAAGGAACTGCATCAGATTTGCTCTAAATATGAACAGAAGTGCCATTAAAGTCAACATTTTTCAAAAACAATTTTCCTGGCTCCTTTTTAAACATATACTTAAACATGCATCATTGGATGCAATGGTCTGGACCACTACATTTGCACATAATATTATAGACATGGATTAGGAATGTTTTAGTTTTCAAGGCATCTGTCAAGTTTTATATTAGATTGTAGAAATAAACTCAGTTCCTGCCAGGCCTCAGGAGTCCTTTCTTCCTTAGAGTAAATGTATGATTGACTAAGGAGACAACTTCAAGTACCAGAGAAGTCACAGACAGAAGACTCCATAAGTAGAACAGACCTACCCAATAAATGACTTTTTCTTCTAAAGTGTATCTCCTATGCTTGTTGCATATTTATTTATTAAAAGCTTTTCTATCCCGTCCCCTACAAAAGTCTCTGGACCGCTTCACACTTCACAAATCACACTAACCTCTCTCATTCTGTTCTAAACTTGTACTTGTAGGACATGTGTCTAAGGCATTATTACTTCTAACAGATATTTAGTTAAATTTTCTCAAAAAGAAGGTGTTACACAGACAAACCAACTTAACTTCAGCATTAGAATTCTTCATATGTTCTAAAACCATTTTCTGGACTTCTTGAAGTTACATATGGGAGTAAGATACACATGGTATTTTAAAACAAAGCAAGTCCTTAACTGAGCAAATTTAAAAAAAAAAAAAAACTAAGACTACCAGATTTCATACATCAAAGTTCTTTGAACACATCAACACTGGTAGACGCAATACTGCCATTTTAGTTAACTTTATTTAACCTGAACTAGATACTACATTTTCTAGAATGAACAGCTGAAATCCATTCTAGAAAACAACTCCTTCCAAACACAACTACTACAGTTCAGTGCTCTCTCATCACTGAACAGAATCTGTTCTGAAACCTTCTGCCTGACCATGTGAATTAAGATAAGCTGCAGAAGCCCTGCTGTCTGTTCCGAAGCTGCATTTGGTTGGAACAAGGATGACTTTTGAGCTCTGCTTGATATTCCCACCCAGAAAGATCCATATTGAACTCTCTTTGTTGGCTTTCTGCTACAAAAGGTGTCAACAACTACTCGTTAAGAAAACGTTGGCTTTATATGTATGGCTTCCAAGCAATTATTAGTATTCAACCAGTATTTATTTAGGGAGGATTATTTAAAAAATCATGCCTGAAATCATGGATAGCTGCTGCAGTCAACACTAACTATATATATTAGATGAACCAATCATCTGACTCAGACCTTCTGCAACAGATTTGGGGAGTTGCTGAAGGTAACAATCAACTCCAGTGGTGGATGCTGTTCAGTCTATGACTGAAAACTGTTGGATATGAACCATTTTACACCTGTCTGAATGTGATTTGCAAATGCCTTGTTTAGTTTATGTATTAATTGTTGTAAAGCACCCAGGCAGCTTCAGCTATTGGGCAGTACAGAAATGAAATGCAGTGGTACCTTGGCTCATGGACGCATTGGATCATGACCAAATCGGGTTTCAAACAAAAATTTCATGAAAATTTTAACTTGGGTCGCGAACTCCACATTGAGTGGCAACCAAGATCACAGACATCTCCCCCCCCGCCCCACCACTGCAGTTGCGTTTGTGCAGGGAAGACATGCATGGTCATGGGCGCACTCCTGCAGGAAAGACAGGCGCAATCTCAGCCATCTCCCCCCCTCCAACCAGCACAATCGCGGCCATCTCCTTCCCGAGATCACGCCTGTCTCTCCCTCCCCCAGTGCGCCTGCAATCGCGCCCGTCTCTCCCCCCCACCAGCACGCTGGGATGTCGGGCATGTGCAGGGATAACGGGTATGATCTCGGTCATGCTGGGGAGGCGGGGAGATGCCACGATGCTTGTGCTCGGAGGGCGGGGGGGAGATGGCCACGATCTTTGTTGTTCTTTGTCACTTTGCTTCACATTTTTCTGATTTAAAAAAATGGTTGCAGAACGGATTAACCTTATTTACATTGAACCTTATGGGGAAATTTAACTTGGCTCACGAACAATTTGGGTCATGACCAGAGTCCTGGAGCGGATTAAGTTTGTGAGCCAAGGTACCACTGTAAGTAGTAGTAGTGGTAATATAAAGCAAAAATTATAGTAGTGGTGGTAATATAAAGCAAAAATTGTTATTAATAATTTAAATGTTCATAACTGAGAGTGATCTTATGGCATCCTAGACAATGTCTAGAATTGTGTCTAGAATCCACACTTCAATTACTCCTTGCACTTGGCATGGAAAGAAGCTTCATGAAGGTTGGAAAATTGACTCTGGAGAGGGGGGTAAAGGGGAGGCGGCTTGGTGGCCCCAAGGTCAAGTCCAATGACATGTCTGGACAGCACTCTTGTCTCCTCCCCTCCTCCTCAAGAGCACCATAGCTAGACAGTGAAATTGGCCTCTCAGCTGAACTGCAGAGTAGGAGGAACAGGAAACTCCGCCACTCCTCCCATTCTCTACTGGATGCTCATCAGCCTCAAAAATTTGGAGGGTTACATGCCTCAAAAGTGCAATTGGTAAGATTTCAGCCTATCATATGAAAGGGAGAAACTACCAAATACACAAGAACCAACAGGATATGAATGCTAACTACATTTAAGTTAAATCTAGCAAGTTGCCACAATTGTGGAACTTTCTTTCTTGCATAATCTTTGGTACTAAACAGCTGCAGTACAGTTTTCCCACAGGCAAGACTTATGATTTTAGTATTTTGAACACTCATCACACAGGTAGTTCCCTGTGAAATGCACAAAAGAGATTATTCAGCAAAATATTAGATGATAAAACATGCTATTGCATCCTAATAATGCAAATTAATATAGAAAGAAACCTACCGGGGCAGCAATGGGATTGCAAGAGACTAATAATGGTAGTCCGGCCACCCATGAGTTAGCATATGGGCATATCATAAGGCTAACTGTAACTGTGCCGCAATGCAATAACTAGTAATTTGTCTCAGTATAACTCGTCAACTTATTTCTGCCAGCAAAACTAATTCATGCAAAACATACCATTAACAGAACACTCAGGAGAAATTTAAACAAATGAGAGAGGAACATGCTACCACCCTGGTTAAACTTAAACACCCACAATATTGGAGAAGAATAGCACTAATTATTTGTGCTGCAGTCAAAGAAACAGAACTGTGTTTTGCTTTCTTCTGCATCAGGAAAGCAAACACACACTCAGTCTTCAAATCAACAGAAGGAAATAGCTTATTTTTCTACCAAAGCAGAAGTGTATACCAATTGGCTCCTTCCCTACTCTTCCAAAAATCCTACAAGTCTCCACTAAACGGCTGGGTTTCAGCAGAAACACTTAACCTGAAGGCAGTAAATCATCGTCTTCTCTGCCCAATAAGTAACATGCGTTTTTCTTTTATCACAAAAGCAGAGCAATGCATTATCCCAAAAGATATGCAGCCTTACACTTTCAAGCAGGGAAGTGTGTGGAATCTATTTGGGGTAGGGAATCCATCCGTTTCCCTAGGCTTAGGTTCCCAGACTAGGGAACTTCACAGCAGCCCTGAGTCCAAGTTCCCAGCGCCCAGTGCTTGCAGGGTGTTTGCCAGGAATCAAGCACCACATGCTACATGAGTATCATCCCTCTTAGGCACTACCTGTAGCAGCCTTTGTGCTTGTTGAGCAACCTTCAGTCCACATGTGTTAGCAGACCTCATTTCAATTCAGTTCACTTTACAAGAGGACGTGAGAGGAAGTCCACAAATATTAGTGGGAAGGATTCCTCTAGGGTTTATCCCAATCCTAGTTTCAAGTCTTTCTAAGACCTGTAATCTTCCTCTGAGGTGTAAAACAAACAAACAAACAAAAAGGTTGAACTTCACACACAATAAGTAGGAGGGGGGGAGAAACTTACTGGTATTGAAAATTCTTCAGCCAAGTACTTCAGTATTGATGCCTCTTTAGTCAACAAGTTGCTTCTTTCTTGCAGGTTGCCTTTAAGTTTTGTATCAAATTCTTTTCTGACTACAGAAGCAACAGAGTCAATTACTACTAGTTTAACATTCTTAGAAATTATTTCTTCTTCCAAAGATTCAATCCTTAAAAGAAATAAAAACACTAGGTTAATAAGGTTTGTATATATCAATGAGGTAACTGCAGCCAATGTCTATTATTGTAATTATTATTTTAAGTATTAACATATATTAAAGTATATTTTCTATACTGTCCAATATCTGAAGCTCTCTGTGTGGTGTACAATAAAATGCAATATAAACAGTAAAATATTATGTGAGGCAGATGCTTGTACTTGCATGGCATGACATCTGTGTTGTTATAGAAAAGCTCAGTGGTGGATTTGTATATACATGTAGCATGTATTTTGTTTTATTGGCATCAACCTAGCACCTTGGCTGAAGAATCCATTTTGCTCTAAAAAGGCACAAGACCAGAAGACTGACAGAAATTAGAAAGCCCTGGATGGAAGCAGTATATAACTGTCTATGCAATGTCCTTTACCTTCACTTAAATGAATCTAGGATGGTTTCTCTACAGGTGTTTTATGTTAAGTTTACAAAAAGGCCTCCATCAATCTACCACACTGCTACCATGATGTCAATGGTATGCACTAATAGTTTCTATAACATAAAGACTAGGTTATAAAAGGAGCCCATAAGTTAATAAAAGTTTTTTGCCATGCAATTTTGTACAGAATCTCCTTCCTGAGATTTCCTGAGATTTTCAGTTTCCAATTTTTGTAAGAGTCTACCTCCCTCCAAATGGCCCCCAACCATTCAGAAAAGAAGGAAGATTAAAAATAATACGTATTTCCACCATAATTAGAGATATATGTCTGAAACTCATAGTTCAGTGGTAGAGCTTATGCTTTGCTTGCAGAAGGTACACAGTTCAAGCCCTGACATCTTTTATTAAAAGGGATAGTTGCAGGTGATGGTAAGACCTCTGAATAGACAATATTGATCCAGATGGATTGAAGGTCTGATCCAGATGGATCAAAGGTCTGATCCAGCATCAGGTTTATACATTCAGCATGAAGGCAATAATTCTGGTGTTCAGAAGGTGATCCTTTGGTGGTCTTATAGCTACTCAGCACATTTCACTACATTATTATTCACAGGCAACTTTTATTGGAAAAAATGATTGTATTACAAATGTAATCTACACTTCATTCACAACAAGCAAATCACAAGTTTTGAGAATATGCATGCCATATTCTTCACAGAGAATATTAATTTCTTAGAATACAGTCTTGGTTGTGAGACAAACATGACATTCCATAAAGCTCTGAGCAACACCTAGGAAGAAAGGGCACTGGACTGGGCAGCAAATGAAATGTCACGTGTTCATCCACTGGCACATAAATCTCTAAAAATACAGACTTTGATATTACTATGTTCTCTGTACAGATAGAACAAAGTAACATCTTAGAATAGTAAAACCTAAATATTTTGTAAGGTACAAAAATGTTTGTATTTAATCACCGAAAGACCCTCAATTGTTTTAAAAAGCAGCCTTTCATTGTTAAAAAAAATTGAAGAAAAAGGTGTTAAGCTCCAAGATATTCTTCTGGAAAGGCTTTATGCAATTAGAACAAAATGTTTTACACTTTTTGTATTCTGCACAATAAAACCAAATCTTACCTTTGAAGCACACTGTCACAGGTGAGTTCCCGATAGAGATGAATACTGCTGGGCATAGAAATCAGCTTTTCTTCTGTAGCAAAATAATGTGGGAAACGGTGCTGTGCTATCTCAATAAGCCTATTAAAAGTCAAAAACATGTCATACAGAGAGGATGTAAGTCAAAATTCAGTATTTTTTCTAAATTTTCAAATTCATGTCCAGAATTACTAGACATGAACAAAAAACCCCACACAAAGCAGATCAGATCTCTTACAGGGCTGTATGACCTATGATCTGTGAAGCCACTAGGTCCTCACACCCAGTTGGTCAGCTGAATTGCAGTGGGGGGAAACAGTTTGGCAAAAATAGAGATAGTTAGGGATTGGGAGAGTCTTTCACTTCCACCACTACCACCCCAACAATTCCAAGAGCTCAGGAGGCAAAGGATGAATGGGTATAAGCACAGCTGTACAGCCCCTGGGACCCCAGTCAAAACCAGATGTAGAAATCATGTCAAAAATGTTGTACACAGCTGGTCTTTTAAAATAGAAATTGGTGTAGAATATGCACAAGTTGGAGGTCTCCACAGCTATTGTGACACAAGTCTTCGACTACCATGACAACAGCAGCAGCCTCTGAGTGTCAGAACCTGTCAGCTTTGGTTAGAATTTGATGAGAGGTAGTCTGGCTAGATGAGCCCTTGAATACTTTGTAGAATGTCACAACCAATGGGAAAGAGGCTCTGTTGATGAAACCAAGCAAGAGTAGGTCACTCGCCCACTCAGCTGCAATTGTTGATATCCACAAGCACGAGAAACCTGTTGAAGAAGGGTCTAACTTGTAGAGTGTTAATCAAGTTGCAGCCTCATATGCTAAATGGTAGAAGAGAAATCTCTGAGCTGGAAAAGAGGCCTTGTGTTAGCCTAAAACTCCTGTCAGAGGTTTGGTAGGAGACCTGTCATAGCCACTCCTTGGCTGATAAGCAGCCTTCCACTGATAGATTCTCTATCTGCCACAATCCTTTACTCCTAACCCTAATTCCTTTGGACTTTTTGAAGATCTTGCCATTAAAAGACTGTAATGTTTCCCATGGACTGTGCTTACTTATGGACTGATTCATGTGCTTTTTGTGAAGCCAACTCATAGGCCCAGGTGGACAACAGCTAGTCCTGAATTCTGGAGTTTCTTGTGTGTGGACCTATGAAATGTAGGGCTCCTAAAGCTAGAGGCTGTGGACATCAAAATTTCTGAATGTGGGAACTTTCATGGACTTCCTACTGAAAATGTTTTGAGCTTTGGATTTGTTAATTCTAGATTCATATCACAAGGTTAGTACTGACTTTTATGTGGGTGTCTAGCTTAATTCTGGTTTTTCCCTTGGAGTCTCATCTTGAATTGCTTCAGTTAGAAGACCTCAAGAATCATCTTACCCCAACCTATCCCCTGAGTAACTGAGCTTATAACTGGGAAACCATTGTCTGTGTCTTTGACTTTGGTGTAGTTGTGAGTGTACAGTTAAAGCCTACAGCAACTGTCACCTGATAAATCTGGTTTTGAAGACTGTATTTAAGTTTTTGCCCTTGTAATAATCTTACTGATTTAGAATCTCCTGGGTCCGACTGCCAGAATTATGGTTCCACAGCCCAAGAACCTGACAGTGAGGTAAACACAACCCACGAGACAACTTCAACACATTTGCTTGAGAAGAGAAGAGAAGAGAAGAGAAGAGAAGAGAAGAGAAGAGAAGAGAAGAGACGCAGAGAAACAGAGCGAGTCAGGGGTCTCCCAGGCCATCCAGTCTGACCTCCGGCACCAGCCAGCTCCGCTCACGACATGCCCACCATGTGCACATCCAGCCTATTCTTGAACACCCTCACCGATGGGGACTCAATGACCAATCGTGGAAGTCCATTCCACACCCTCGGGGTCCTAACTGTCAGGAAATGCTTCCTGGCGTCCAAATGGAACCTTGGATTTTTTAGGAGAAGAGATTTTTGCTATAGTACCTGTGAAGTGCAAGCTTGGAATACTTAGAGCTGTTGCTCAAATTACAACCTGAATCATTCTAATAGTTCCCCACCAAAAGCTCCCTTTTGGGAAAGTCATGAGAAGCAGATTGCATTGATTCCCAACAGTACTGCTAATGGGAGCTTCCTTTTCAACACAGAAGGAACAGGTGTCCCCTCTATTTGGTGTCAGGAGTTAAGCACCAAATTCTATACTACATCTTGTGCTGCTGAGAACAAGCCTGGACTTTTGCTTCCTTCTTCATTTTCTGAAGAGGAATCATGCATAAAAACAGAGGAAGTAATAGGGTTAGAGATCATTCAAGGAGCACTGTAGCACACCTGTTCAAATGCTTGCAAGCTGGATTGAAACAAGGGGAAGGGGTACGTAGCAGTAACAGCCCATAAGAATTAAAAATAAAACCCTCCACCTTAAACAGAATAATGTGTAGTGTTCATTCCCTACCAAAAATTCTGGGATTTGTAGTGCCAGTCCCATTTCCCAGCCAGAAAAAAAAAGTTAATTGGGGCATTCCTGTGTTTGACAATTACATACTTATAGGAGTGTAATATTTGCATTGAGATTATGAGTTTTCACTGAATGATTTTCCAGTGGCACCATGGGTAGAAAGTAATAAACATTAGGTTTATTAGCAGTTTTAATGTGCAGATAACAAGAAGCCAGAGTGGCAAAGGGAGATCAATATACCCTTGTTGCAACCCAACTTCAGGGTATGTTATGGAGCTAAATATCTTGTTCTGTTGCATGTCTGAAGAAAGATTTTAGAATGACTGCATGTTAAACCAATAATCAATCTCTTCTATCAGATGTTTCTTGATTATTTCAAATGTAAAACAAGAGAAATCGAAGACAAAATGTAGACGCATCAACAGACCTATATCAGTGGTGATGCCCTATTCCAGTCTTTCAGAAATCTGGAAATGAGAATATGTTAGATTCATCCTAAGCTTTTACCATTCACTTCAATAAGATCAGGACTGATGCCTTGGATGGCAATTCAGAGATGGCTTTATTGTACCAACATTTCTCCTTTACTGCAACAGCATGGACAGGAAGCAGCCCCCAGGAAAACATAGGCATAACCACGCTCTAAGATCTGGCAATTTTTGCACCTGACCAGAGTAGTCAGCAGAGGGTGCCTCAGGATTGCAAGCTTACCCTCTAAGATGTGCCTTCTCTCATCACCCAGCACTGGAGGCTGTTGTACCACCCATGGACCATGAATAATCTTGACCAGGTTTGGGGGCCTTGCAAAGAGTGGAGGAGGACTGGAGGGGGTGACAAATTGGAGCCCTTATTTCTTCTCAGCAAGGACACTGTGCTGCTTTATTAACTAACAATATGCTGCAGGCAAACATGAGAATCACCGTTCATAGCTAAAGGCATTGTTTACAATTCTTACCTTTCAGCACTGAATGCAGATTCTGTATCAATGTATATAACAGCTCCATCCAATCCTCTCATGCTGGTGGGCAAAGTGGCCAGTAAGCTCATCATAATGCAGAACTGAGTTTTGCCACAACCTGATGGACCAGCTATCTAATAAGAGAAACACACATATCACATAGTGTCATTCAATTTACAGCAACAAAATCTTTGCTGTTTTAATCTTAATCTACAGACTGCCATTCATTTGTGACATCATGCTATTTACAACAGTGCACATTACATCTCAAACTGATGAAAAGGACAAATTGGAGTTAACCTTGAATATATAACTTCTAATACTTAAACTGTAGAGGAGAAACTAATAACCTTGTACAGGAAAACAACTCATTTTGGGAGAAAATTACCATGCTAAACCAACACATCAGTTTCCTCATACTTTTCTAGAGTAGTGAAGGCTATTTCAAGAGTTTCTACCTCCTTAAGAAACACAAAACCCTTAGTGAATTAGGGCTGAAACTGTGCTTCAATCACAGAGGGTTACAAGTATCCAATGCAAAGGGAGAGCAGTAATGAGGCCATCTCTGCCTCACCACAATCCCTTCTCTGAATTTCAGCTAGCTGGATAGCTTTGGCTATCTAACCAAGGCATCTCAGAAACATCTCAAGGCATCTCTTTTATATTGTTATTTATTTTATATTGTTAATTTTATATTGTTATTTTTGTATTTTATTGTATTTTATTTGTGCTGTGAGCCGCCCCGAGGCTTCGGCAAGGGGCGGCATAGAAATGTTTTAATAAATATATAAATAAAATAAACAGAGAGGAGGCAGTTGTCATATTGTCAGGATACATCACATCCTGGTAGCTCTAGTCTCCTTTCCTCCCTGCTCTGCTTACCCTCTAAGATCGAATTTCCAAAATTTGAGAAATCTTTCTTCACTCGTTGTAGTGGGGGAGGGGATCAAAGCACTGATCCCCAGCTCCAAGGCTGGAGCTCTGTCTCTGGTCTCAGAGCTAAAATCCAAATGATCTTGTAGCCCCTTGTAGCTGCTATCTAAGGGTCACAAGATTGTTCTGCCCTACTGCTGCTCAGATTCCTAACTATACATATTAAAGATACATCTCTGAATTTAACATAGGTGTAGCAAATTCGAAGGACAGAATCTCTCTAAAAGGTGCCTCTTCATACAATCATACAGTTTGTCTTATACCCATGAAGATACACACTGAAAAGTATAATTCTTCTGATATTCTACGCTAGTGCTAATGAGATGTGCATGATGCTTTTTAAACGAAGTAGGTTGAAATATCGTGAGCTTAAGCAGACTCCAGGGGATGGTGGAGGAATGTTGTTCATGGGGTTGCGATGGGTTGGACACGACTTTGCAACTAACAACAACAAGGTTGAAATATGCATAAGTTTTAGTATACTCCATTGGGGTCCTCAGTGCAGTGCCCATGGGCTCTATGGCTAGAAAGGAAAATAATACTGTAATGCTGTCCAAAACATTAAAAGCAATGTTTTGCAAGGGGACCTGCTCTACTCTCTCACCTTGTTTTTCCCCTATCTCAGTCTCAAGTCCTGCTCTTTTTTCTCTTCTTTCTGTGGCCTTCCTATTTCCCACTCCCTCCTAGACTCTAACCTCACTATATATCTCCTCTTTATGCCTGTTTCTCTCATTTTGAGAAGAGAAACTCCCACAGCTGACCACATCCTCCAAGGAAGGATTCTGCAGTGGTATGACAGCAGCCTCTCAAATTCCCAAATGTGCCCAGATTCAAAAGGTTCAAGGGACCCTCCTCTACATTTTAGGCTGCCATGTATTGACATTCTCTACACTGCCTGTTTTGAGATCATTTTGTTTGTTTATTAAAATTTATATGCTGCCCACTAAACTTAGAGGAGTCTCTAGGCAGCTTACAATCAGCAGATTTCTCTCTGTGAGGCACACAGGGTTGGATGGACCCAGACTTAGTAATACCTACAACAGATCTATTGAAATCATGACTAACTTAAATTTGAGTTCAATGTGGTACAGAAAGTATGACTAAATCTGGATCCAACCCATATTCTATAAAATAGATGTAACTTATTACAACAGAGGTGAAAAGCTGCAACCCTCCAGATATTGTTGGACTACAACTCTTATCAGCACAAGTCATCATAGGCAATGGTCAGGAATTATTAAAGTTTCAAGTACAGGTATACAGGTTCTCCACCTCTAGATCACAAGCACTATATACTGATGTTTTATATCTCACAAGTTTTATTAGCAACAAAATTAAAATTCATCTCTGCATTATCTAATTTTGCTTTAGGGCCAATTAAGATGCATGGTTTTGTTCTGGGTTTTTTTGCTTCTGTTTGGTTATACTTATTTATTTAGAAAATTTCTAAATTACTAAATTAGTAAATTTCTTATTATTAATTGGAAAAATATGAGTATATTTGCATTGTAAACTAGGGAAATTTTCAATACAAAATAGACATCTCATGGACCCAACATTTTTGAGCAAAGTTGCACTAAAGATAATCAGTTTTATATTTGCATTGAACTCAACAGAAATTCTGTTGAGTACAACTTAACTCCCTACCATTAAGATTAACAGGCTTAAAATATTTATCTCTGGCTGCTTGTAGCCTTTATTTTTATAATTGGTGGTGGAATGAATCCAACAGACAGAAAACTGCTGACTCTCTAGAACATTCTCTTTCCAAAACCTACTGAGAATTCATGGGGTTCATCTTATTCCAATTTTAACTTGAAATCAGGTGTCCACCCATGTAATAGAGACCCACTATGATAACAGCATTCAAATTTTCCTGCTTGGAAAGAGTCTCCTTTAATACTACATTATTTTCAAGACAAGCGTTGATTAACCACAAAAAGTTACTTACAATTCAGTTTCCAGTTTAAACCTCAATAGTGGTTTGGAAAAAAAGGGTCCATGCCAAAACAGTTTCCTGGCTCTCAGAGAACAAGCACAGGATCTGGCAGTAGAGGATACCACTGAAATATTTACTTTAAATGGCTCGTTTGAGTTCCAACTTTCCAACCACCATCATTGTTGGATAACATAAAAAGAAATAATGGTCATAGCCACAAAAGTAGGGAATAAAATACTCTTCCCATGAGGTAAAAGTGCAGTCTGTGCATTAGCTTTGCCTGGTGCTTTTAGGCTATATAATAGAAGAAAAACAAACTCAGCTGAGGCCATGTTCAATCAAGATGGAGTATGGCATTGAAGAGAGTCTTCATCTGCAAGTTTTAGCTTTGTAGCAAGAAATAAATTGCAGTGATATGCAACAAATACCACAACAGATATCCCTGTTTCCGGTAGATATAGTGCCAGTTCTAATAAACTTTTTCCTGTATGCAACAAAGGCAGATACTGCAAGGTGACATGATAGCACTCTACAGGTTCCTCAAAGGCTGTCACAAAGAAAAAGACTTCTCACTCAAGCCAGAGTGTAGGAAACAGAACAATGAATTTAAACTACAGTATTCTAGGTACAAGCTAGACACAAGGAAGAACTTCCTAACTGTTGGAGCAATTCAACAGTGTAATCAATTGCCAAAAGAGGTAATGTGCACTTCCACACTAGAGACATTCAAGAAGAAGCTAGACAGTTATCCGAGTGGGATGGTGTAACTGCCTTGGCCCCTTCCAATCCTACTTTTCCATGATCCCCTTTATATAGCAAGATCCTCTTTGTTTTGGCTAGACCTAACTTTTCTAGTTGTCCTTACACTTTTCCACCCTTTCCCAAAACTCTAGGTGCTTAAGAAAGTAGGCACTGTGACTGGTTGTCTACTTGGAGATTGCAAAAAAAAAAACATTCTCTGGAAAAAGGTTGTTACTGAAACTGGGTTGTCATGATGTCTGACCTGAGCCCTAACAACAAGCCATTATTTGTTAACCATGACCAACACAGTATGAATGGTTTGTCACTGGGTTGTAAACTGTGAGTTGTTCAACAACCCACACTGAATTCCTGTGTGTGAGCTATCATGTTGTGCAAAATCCATACCTTCACCCAACCTCTGTGAATTTCAGAAGATTAATGATAGGGATATATTATCATTTGATTCACCGCTATTACTGAGCAAGACTGCAGCAACATTATTTTAATAATCCATTAAATCCAAAATGAATTATTATTTTATAAAAAGGCTCTGTGCCTCACATTTTAATTATTCTAAAAGAACAGCAACTTCTTTCAGTATGTAAAATAGACACTTATCTTCCATCTTCTGTTATATAAATGGGAACAAATACATTTAGCAGCATGTCCTTTTTTTTACCTCTGTAAGAGATCCACAGGCAATTCCACCATGTAGTATTTTATCCAGACCTTCCAGTGTTGTTGGCAAGAATGATGATGAAGGATTGATGGTTCTTTTCATTTTCATTTCATAAACCTACAATAACCAAGATCAATTAGAAAAAGATGTATTTAACTGGTAAAGAAATGTCTGGTATTTGTTTTTTCACCAAAGTAGACTTGCTTAGTGCTTGCTTGCCAAAACAAAAAGTACCATGCAGTTCTTTAATGAGATTTCCCCCTCTCCACCCACCAAACCCAAGACCACAAAATAATATTAAAGACTGTGCTGTCTATTAACATTCTTATGTTGCAGCCTTCAACATTACAAACTCACAAAAGTACTTTAAAATATTTTTTCATCTTTTGGACAATACGCAAAACATGATTTGCAAATTACCACTTCTGAAGAAGGTATTATCCTTGTGGTTAAGAACAGCTGGGAAATGCACACAATGAAACCCCAGACTATGAAATAACTGATTCTGTTACCTATTCCAAAATGTCTGGGTTCAGTAGAAGGTTTATTGAAGTTTCTGTGAAGAATTCTAGAAAGAATTTTATACAGAAATCTAAGACAATATTTAAAGTGAACAAAATGTAGCTAGGAGACACTTGGATACTCTTCTCTGAATACATTTCGCTTTGCCACAAGAAGCTAAAGTTCTAGTACAGGGAAGTGGGAGCATCAGATTATGCTTTTAATAGTATTCAAATCTTATGCCAGACAGTATGACTATGGATCAGTGAGGAATCCATTTGGGGGTGGGAATCCATGAGATTCCCTGGGTTCAGTTTCCTAGACTTCAGTCTGCTTTGCAGTGGTCCTAAGTCCAAGTCCCTGATGAGCATGCCCGGCATACACTGTGCAAGCAGCATCCCTATTCCTTGCCACATGTAACAGCCCAAACAGCTTTGTTGTAAACTGCCTAGAGAGCTTCAGCTGTGCGATGGTATAGAAATGAAATAAAAAATTAATAATAATACATATTATTATTACATATAATACATATAAAGACCTCAGAACTCATCACTGTTACCTCCTGAATAGTCTAGCGGAGAGAACACTAGACCAGGAGCAGGAAAACACATGCTCAAATCCCTGCTCAGTTTTGAAGTTACCACCATATGCAATTCAAACAATCCCAAACTCTTAACCTATTTCAACAGGACTGTTGTGAGGATAAGAAGGCGGGAATGTACTTCACCCAGATTTCTTTGGAGCAAGGGTGGAATAAAAACTACATTCAAACAATAGCATATATTTATGACTAATAAATGTAAATGATTGAATTTATGGGGGTTTTTATTTACAGGTAACATGAATATAGGTACTTGCATAATGTGGTGTAGTGGTTAAGAGCATGGGACTAGGACTCAGGCGATCCGGGTTCTAGTCCCCACGCGGCCATGGAGCCAACTGGGTGACTTTGGGCCAGTCACAAACTCTCAGCCCAACCTACCTCACTGGGTTGTTGTTGTGTGGATAAGATGGAGGAGGAGAATGATGTAAGCTGCCTTGAGCCCTTTGTAGGAAAAAGGCAGGATATAAATCGGAAATCGGAAATAATGGTCAGCAAATCACTAAGAACTGCTTGCATTTGCAAATTTTTGTATGATACATTTTGCACATACATGGTGATCAGTTCGTATGATAAATGTGTAAACACCATCCATTCCTTCCCAACTGCAATCCAGTAGATTCAGTACTGTTTGGTCATCATGATCAAAGAGGATGAATAATCCTCCGATATCAATGAATGTTTCTTGGAGGTGTGTTGTGGAGCTGAAGGAAGATCAGCAAGAGGGTGTTCCGATTTTTGTGCACAGCAACCCTCAAGTGTTTAACTTCTGCAGATCCTGTCCACACCACCACTCTTCACCATGCAGGTGCCCTACCGATGTTCTAGACTGCCACCCCAACCAGCATCGCCAATAGTGAGAGAAGATGGCAGTTGGAGTGTAAGTATCTGGAGGGCATTGCATTAGGGAATGCTAATCCATACTCTCAGCAGATACTTCTAATGTCTTTATAATCGAACATCTGCCTCTCCGAATTGTGCCAAACATCTGCTGCATGCTTGGAAATGATTCAACACAGGTTCTGGGGAAACGAAGGTGCCAAAGATTTATTTTCCAATGCCGCTGCATCTTTGCAGTGCCATTCGGAAGAACCAGCTGCAATCTGACTCAGAGAGTGAAAGAGCACGTTATAGCATTGATTGTGACAGGTTGCAAGACACATTGAAAACAAAGCTGTTCACAAGTTAGGCTTCAGAGTACAGTTCCAGTGACAGAAATGTCACAGCAGAGCACTTAGTGATGCTGTTTGTGTGTTTGTTTCATAATTAGGATTAGGGTCTTAATTGTGCTAATGTCTGTTTCTCTTCCTGGAGAGAAACACTGGTTACCTATTGACTCTCATAGTGTTATTTCTCTAAGAAGCAATGTATTTTCTGCTATTTCTTTACTATATCCTATGCTACCTACCATATCCTATTATATCTCAAGAACAAGTCTGCCAATATGGCAGACTTTGCACATTATTTCTTTCCTATAAGGACATAAGCATATAATGCATATTTACAGTAATACCTGAAATATGTCTGCCACAAGTAGACACATCAGACAGAAAGTGCACATGGTGATAATTATTAGTTCCTTCCAGTGGTTGACATCTGCCCCTCCTTCTGGTTTTGCCCCCAGCCAGAGGGTTCCAGGTAGTCTTGTCAACCGCCCCTCGGGCCTGACAGTGCTGCTGCTCAATGCCAAGTCAAGAATAAATCTTCCCTCATCCATGACTTGATTGTGGATGAGTGGGCCAATCTGACTTGCATAACGGAAACCTGGGCGGGAGGGGGGGGGATGTCACCCTCTCTCAAATGTGCCCGCCCGGGTATCTGGTTCAGCACTGTTCATGCCCGGAGGGGAGGGGAGGGGGGTCGCTTTGGTTTACAGAGCCTCCATCTCTCTCACGGGACTTCCGGTCCCTTCGAGACCAGGGCTGGAGTGCCTCTACTTGGTGTTGGGCGACCGAGACAGATTGGGGATTCTGTTGGTGTACCATGCACCCTTCTGCCCATCAGTCTCCCTGCCTGAGCTGACGGAGATCATCTCGGACCTGGTGTTGAGGATCCCCAGGATGTTGGTCCTGGGGGACTTCAATCTCCATGCCGAGACTGGTCTGACCGGGGCGGCTCAGGACTTCATGGCCTCCATGATGGCCATGGGGCTGTCTCAACATGTTACCAGCCCAACCCATGAACGTGGACACACTCTGGACCTGGTTTTCTCGACGGGGCAGGAAGAGGGTGGTCTGAGGGTGAGGAATTTATGTTTGACTCCCCTGTCATGGTCAGATCACTTCCTGGTGAGGTTTGTGCTTGAGAGCGACCTCTCCCTCTGCAAGGGTGCGGACCCGATTGTGTGGGTCCGCCCCCGGAGCTGGATGGATCCGGATGGATTCCTGAAGGCCCTGGGGGAGTTTCCGGCTGACGAGACTGGTGCTCCTGTCGAGGCTCTGGTCGAACTGTGGAACGGGGAGATGACCAGGGCTGTGGACACAATCACTCCTAAGCGTCCTCTCCCACCGGGCAGAGCCCACTCTTCCCCTTGGTATACACCTGAATTGCGGGCGATGAAGCAGGCTAGGAGATGGCTAGAGAGTAGGTGGAGGAAATCACGGGATGAATCTGACCGAACACACTTGAGAGCCTATTATCAGGCCTATGCCGTGGCGGTGAGGGCAGCGAAAAAGAGTTTCTTTTCCATTTCCATTGCCTCCTCAAAATGCCGTCCAGCGGAGCTTTTTCGAGTGGTGCAAGGCCTGGTTCGTCCAGGTCCTAAGAAAGATCTGGTTCCACCCTCAAAGGCCCACTGTGACGACCTTGCCATGCATTTCAGGGAGAAAATCGCTTAGATTCGTCACGAGCTAGACACCACTAGTGAATCAGAGGTTTCTGGGGAGACACCAATGCTGCCGTCTGGTCCAAAATTATTGGATGAATTTCAGTTATTGCAGCCTGATGATGTGGACAAGGTGCTTGGACGAGTACGTCCCACCACTTGCCTATTGGACCCTTGCCCATCTTGGTTAATAAATAATTCCAAGCATGGGATTGGGATCTGGATCTTGGAAGTGGTTAACGCTTCTCTGAGGGAGGGTCAGGTGCCTGCCCCTTTAAAGGAGACGGTAGTCCGACCGGTCCTGAAGAAAGCGTCACTGGATCCAGAGATGGCCACTAATTATAGACCAGTGGCCAACATCTCGTTTCTGGGCAAGGTGTTAGAGCGGGTGGTGGCGGGACAACTCCAAGCTCTCTTGGATGAAACTGATTATCTGAACCCATTTCAGTCCGGCTTCAGACCCGGGTGCGGTACTGAATCTGCCTTGGTCACCCTGTACGATGACCTGTGCAGGGAGAAGGACAGGGGGAGTGCGTCCCTGTTGGTTCTCCTGGACCTCTCAGCGGCTTTCGATACCATCGACCATGGTATCCTTCTGGATAGGCTAGTGGGATTGGGGGTCGGAGGCACTGCTTTGCAGTGGTTCCGCTCCTATCTCAATGGCCAATTCCAGAAGGTGGTGCTGGGGGACTATGGCTCTGCACCATGGCAGCTATGCCATGGAGTACCACAGGGGTCCATTTTGTCCCCTTTGCTGTTCAACATCTACATGAAACCGCTGGGAGAGGTCATCAGGAGGTGTGGGCTGCGGAATCATCAGTACGCTGATGATACCCAGCTCTACCTCTCGTTTTCCACCAATCCAGGTGAGGCAGTGGCTGTACTGAACCGGTGCCTGGCCGAGGTAATGGGCTGTATGAGGGCCAATAAACTGAAGCTCAGTCCAGGCAAGACGGAGGTCCTGTTGGCTGGAGGATCGGGCTTCGGAGAGGGTGAATTGAACCTAGTCCTGAATGGGGTTGCACTCGCTCTTAGGGACAAGGTCCGCAGCCTGGGAGTGCTCCTCAACCCAGAGCTTTCATTGGAAGTTCAGGTGACAGCAGTGGCGAGGAGCGCTTTCCTTCAGCTTCGGCTGATCCATCAGCTGCGCCCCTACCTGGAGTACGACTGCCTGGCGACAGTGACACACGCGCTGGTGACTTCCCACCTTGACTTCTGTAACGCACTCTACATGGGATTACCCTTGAACACGGTCCAGATACTTCAATTGGTTCAAAATAGAGCTGCCAGGCTGCTGACGGGGACTGGGCGTTACGTTCACATGACTCCAGTCCTCCGTCAGCTTCACTGGCTTCCCATTGAAGTCCGGGCCCAATTCAAGGTGTTGGTGATGACCTATACAGCCCTAAACGGCTTGGGTCCTGGTTACCTGCAGGAGCGCTTACATCCATATACGCCCGACCGCCCCTTGAGATCTGCGGGAGAGGCCCTTCTCTGGGAACCCTCCATGAAAGAAATTAGGAGGGTAGGTACTCGGAGGAGGGCTTTCTCTGCGGTGGCGCCCAATCTATGGAATGTGCTCCCCAGAGAGGTCCGCCTGGCACCGTCGTTATTTGTTTTTTGGCGCCAGGCAAAGACCTTTTTATTTAAACGTCATTTTAATTGTTAATATTATTTGCTTATTTTATCTGACCAGGGCGACTTATTTTATATTGTTAATTTGTTTTATATTTTGAATGTATTATATTTTAATTTTATGTTGTGAGCCGCCCCGAGGCTTCGGCGAATGGGACAGCATAGAAATGTTTTAAATAAACAAATAAATAAATAAATCCTACTTTGCAAAGCCCTAAATGGCTTGGGACTGATATACCTGAAGGATTGTTTTTTCTCATACTTACTTACTCATTCTTTAAGATCTGAATCAGAGGCCCTTCTTAAAGAACTATCCCCCAAGAAAGTAAGGGAATGACAAATAGAACAACCATCTTCTCAATGGTTGCATTACACCAATGGATTGGGCTCCCCAAAGTTTGCCTAGTGCCCCCATAATCAGTGTTTTGGTGCCAGGCAAAGACTATCCTATTTTTTAGCTATTTTAAAAATTAAGAAATTCAATATTTATATTTTATATGGTTTGTATTTTATGCATTTAATTGATTTTAAACTGCTATACTTACTCCTACTGTAATATCATTGTATTTTATGAACTGTTATGTATTACTGATTTTTAACATATTGTACACTGCCCAGAGAGCCCTGAATTGAGCTATAAGTTGTGGTATATAATTTAAAAATAAAGGAATACATACAGTTTGCATTCTGGGAGCACAGGACTGGCTGACTTTATGAATAAGTTTCTTTACATTCTGGTAGCTCTGTCCGGTCACTTTCATTAGCTCCAGTAGTGACAAACATAAAAAGTCCTGAAATATAAGTATGAAAAACAAATCTTAGGGAATTAAGTGTAGAAAACAGCTGGACAGAGTTCATATATTTAAAAGTATTTTCTTAAGTATTCTGCACCTACTCAAAATAACCACACTTTTAAGGATAATCTTGCTTGTGTCACACATCTCCTACCATTACAAGATTTTATGCCTGTATTAAATGAGTCTCACCTTGCAAGTAGTGATCTGATGTCGACTTAGACTTTCACAAAGATCCTGGGGCAAACCTGCTCTTCTCAGTCTTTTATATGCCATGTTCAATTACTGAGTAATCAGAAACACAACCCTGGGATTTAACAAATAAATTACTTGAAACAACCATGTATACATAAAATTACCTTCATTTTACTCACTTTTATGGTTAGCTATAATTCTAGATTCAATTTATTCTGTACATCCAATTCTGCCTTCCTTTTCATGAGTACTCATAGATTGTGTTCTGGTCCCTTCTGATTACAGTACAACCAAAAGATATCAAGGTCTCTCTGTCCATAGTCTTTTACATCACCTCAACTTGTGTGATACTGGGGCAGCACTCAAAACAATGTTGCCACAAATACCTCTTTCTAGGGCAGCAAACAGAAGTGTTCTCTCAAACTGCCCTCCATGTAGACTCTTTGAATGTTTAATGCTTCATATATTAAGGAGGAGTTGAAACCAGCTGAATCTTGTTTGATATGGGGGGTTGGGGAGAATTAAAGCTGACAGATGTGATCTTGGATATAATGTTGAAGGCTGCTGGTTCTAGGGGACTTCACGGTTCATAATGAGGGCTTCTTATCCAAAGGATTTCATGGCTGCCATGGCAACCATGGGACTGTCCTAACATGTCATTGGCCCAACACATGTGGCTGGGCATACTTTAGACTTGGTCTTCTCATTCAAATATGAGGATAATCAGTCCCTTTGTCATGGTCAGATCATCACCTGCTGAGCTTTGACTGATGGTGGCTTTTTCCCTCTGCAAGGTTGGGGGACCTATTAAGATGGTCTACCTCCAGAGGCTGATGGATCCAGATAGTTTCCAGAGGGCTTTGGGGGATTTTCCAGCTGACATGGCTGGAAAAATTTTCAAAGCCTTGGTCATGCTGTGGAATGCAGAAATGACCTGGGAGGTTGACATGATTGCCCTCTCTGTTGCACAACTTGTACAGCTCCATAGTATACCCTCCAGCTGAAAGCAATGAAACAAATTAGGAGATGGTTGGAGTGCAGATAGATGAAAACCCCCAGTGCATGCAACAGAAACCTGGTATGTGCATGCAATAGGGTATATTTTGAGGTAGTGAGGGTGACAAAGAACCAATACCTCACTGCCTCCATTCTTCTCTTTGCCACCCAATGGAACTTTTCAAGGTTGTCCAGGGCTCATTACGTTCTGGTCCCAGGGGCATTTAGAACCATCGCAGTCCCACTATAATTCATTCACTAAACACTTCTGGGGCGGGGGGGAATCTCTTGGACTTGAATGTGTGAAGATATCCAGTGCACAGCCTGGTCCAGTTTTATGGAATGTGTTTCAGTTGGTACAGCTCAAGAATGTGGAGGTGCTTGGACAGGTTCATGCAAACACCTCTGTACTGGATCCTTGCACTTCCTGGCTTATAAAAGACAGGAAGGAAGGAACAACCAGCTGGACCTGGGAAGTGAATAATGCCCTATTGCAAGAGGAAGTAACCCCATGCTGTCTTAAAGAGGCAGTTGTGAGGCTACTTCTAGAAAAATTCTCCCCTGACCTGGAAAATCTGAATAACTTTAGGCCACTAGCAGACATCCCTTTCTTGGGCAAGGTTCTTGAACAGATGGTGGCCAACTAGTTCCAGGCACTCGTGGATGAGACTGATTATCTGGACCCATTTCAGCTAGGATTCAGGTCTGGTTTTGGCACACAAAAAATCTGGACTGCCCTGTATGATGACTTTCACTGGGAGCAAGGGTGACCCTGCTGATATTGCTGGACCTCTTAGCAGCTTTTAATACTATCTACCATAGTTATCATTTTGGGACAACTGAGTGGCAGGGGTGGGGTGGGCATTGAGTTACGGTGGTTCAGTTCCTACTTGGAAGACCATCTCCAGAAGATAGTGCTTGGGAAATACTGTTCAGCCCTGTGGATTCTCCAGCATGGAGTTCCTCAGGGGTCTGTTCTGCCCCCACCCACCCATGCATGCTATTCAACATCTAGTGAAACTGCTGAGTGGGGTCATCCAGTGTTTTGGAGTGTGTTGCCACCAGTTGCTGATAACACACAACTTTATTTCTCCTTTTCATCATCAGCAGGTGAGGATGTGGATGTGCTAAACCAGTTGGCTGAGGGCCAACAAACTGAAACTCAATCCAGACAAGACTGAGATGCTGTTGGTGGGTGGTTCTTTTGACTGGATTAGCGGTCAACCTGTTCTAGATGGGGTTGCACTAACTGATAGAGCAGCTTCATAGCTTGGTGGCTACTCTTTGATCCATCTTTGTCACTTGAAGCTAAGGTGACATTGGTGGCTCAAGGCACCTTCTACCAGCTTCAGCTGGTGGCCCAGCTATGTCCCTATCTAGACAGGGATAGTCTAATTTGAGTAGTCTGCACTCGTGTAATCTCTAACCTGGATTTTTGCAATGCACTCTACATGGGGCTGCCCTTGAAGGTGGTTCAAAAGCTGCACATGGTGCAGAGTGCAGAAGCCAGATTAATAACCAGGACCTGCAGGTCTGAACTTAAGACCAGTTCTGACCCACCTGCATTGGCTGCCTGTATGCATTTGGTCCCAATTCAAGGTGTTGGTTTTAACCTACAAAGCCTTACATGGCTTAGGACCACAGTACATGTCAAAGAGCCTCTCCCAAATATCCATTCATTTGCTCCACACCACACAAAATTTCGTATACCTCTATCAAATCCCCTTACACACTTTTTTCTTGGGTACAAATCCCCAAATGTTGCAACTTTTCCTCAGAGATGAGTCCACCTTTGATCATTTTCATCACCCATTTCTGCACAGAGGAACATGTCTTACCAATGGAGACAATAAACAACCTTATATGCATTTACAAATGAGTAAGCATCTCTGAACTCAATGAAACTCACTTCTATGTAGAAAAGTATAATAATTTACTAACAGGTATTTGCATGACCTACAACAGCCTTCCCTGTCCTAGAACCCGACTGGACGTCAACGTGGCTCGGTCAACTGTCAGTCATTCTGAGAACTGTAATCCAAAGCATATGGAGGGCCCTAGGAAGTGCTCCTTACAACAGCTAAAGTCTCAACAACGACTGGACGTATTTTGAAAAAGTCCAGCATAACGGATCAGCTTAATGCTTTTTGGATTTAGAATTGCGAAGGCAGCCACAGAGGAGGAGAAGCAAGTAAGTTCTAACACCTAACTTTTCCAAACCAGCCAAGTTTCCTCACAACTGCCCAGTGATACGATCAGTTTCTCTGTAATGTGAACATGTACCGAGGGAAGCAGTGGCGTGGCAAGCCACGCCACGCCACGTATTCAGAAGACGCCGGCAGACCGAGCCCCGACTCTGCCAGGAAGGGCAAAGAGACAGAGGCCCCGTCCAGACGACACCCCCCAGCCTCAAAGCCTCTCGCTCCGGTTCCTTCGCCTCCATCGAAAGCAGGTGAAGAGGCATATTAAAGACCCTTTTACCCACCCAACTGAGGAAAATGCTCCCAGCAAGGGCGGAGCGGCCGGTCTCCAAGGCGACGACAGCAGCAACGCCCAGTCCCAACCTGGACACTTTTCAAAGTCTCCCACTTCTCCGCAGAAGGCGGAAACGGCTGCAGAGGAACATCCAGAGCTATGATTGGTTCCTGACTCAAGCACTTCACCCAGTCCTTCGCGGAGATACTGCCTAAGCGCATGAAAGGGAGCCTGGGAATTGTAGTTTTCTTGCAGGCAGGGAGAAGGGATCCGGAAGAAAACGCGTGGTTCAATAAACTTTATAAACACATCCAGTTTCGGGGAGGGGGGAGACTTGAAATTGATCGTACGCTGTGTTGCTGTTTTCCTCTATTTCGATTTTTTGTGCATCTGACTACGTCTGCAATATCCTCGCTAGAATAAAGTTGTTAGTCTTTAAGGTGTCACAAATCGTGTTGTGGGTTTGGCTCGGCTAAACAAGGCTGCACCCCGCGGGATTTAGCCTTTAAGTAGAGAAAGAGGTTTCCTGCCAGAATCATAGCTGCTGATGCCCACTATCGTTCATGAAGCGGTGGAATCATAAATACCACTTGAGTCAGCAACGTGTATGGGGGTGGGGGGGCGTATTTCTGAATGTTTCCCGATGTAAAGCCAGTTTATGTGAACAAGTCTGAAAATCTTGGAACAGTCATGCTATCCAAACATGCTCTGTTTTGTGGCTCTTGCAGTGAGTTGTGTTTTTGCTGCTGCACGTTTTTCACTCTTCTGGCATTCATAAAGATAACGAGCCTGACCTGCACTTTGTAGTAGTAATCCTTTTAACTTTATTCTGGGCATGTGTAAACGGGTAATAATATCAAGGAGTAGATCCAGGCAACTTACAAAGGTTCCCAGGTTAGGACCGGAAGTAGGGGGTTTTTTGGGGGCGGGGGGAGGTTTGATTCTAGTTAGCAGGGGAAGTGTGGATACCTGCTCGGGGTCCTCAATCTCCTGCCAATCAGCTTCATGGGGTGACCCTGGGTTGTACTAGTAGATGAGAGAACTCAGTTCTCCACCACATCTGATTAAAAAGTGAGCCAGCCAAAGAAGACCTTAAGGGAACAGGGTGGCTAAAATATTCCTCTTGTATTTAAGGAAACAATGCCATTACCAATGCTTATATTCCAGTGTAAGCAACAATGAAGCCCAGTGGCATTGCTAATACATATGCTCGGGCCTTACTATTCATGGATTGTTAAAATGGTTAGGAAAGTAGTGTATGATGTAGAATTTGGTAAAACTAAAATCAGGTTTTTGTACAGCTATCCCTTGAAACTGGGGGTTCCAAGTCAGGAAATGTTGCTTTTTGCTTTTTTGACAAAAATCGGGAGTCCCAAGGCAAGGGAAACAGGGTAACCTTTCTGCTCTTGTTTTGCAGCCCAGAGTGCCCAAGTGACACTTGAGCCTGGGATGGGTAATCAGGGGTCGGAGGGCTGCTGACAAAGTCTAGCAAGTACTTACCATGTCCAATATTCCCCATGGGTGTTCAGGTAAGTTAAATGCTCCTTTGGAGACCTCTGATAGGTGACAGAAGCTGCCCTGTCAAAGTTGTCAAAGTGCTCCAGAGCCCAGGAGTTTTCTTGCTTCCAAAGCAGGGGGTAATTTTTGTGAAAGCCAAAATTTTAAAAAGATGAGCAATCATAGATCTTTCAAGGTACCACTGGGGAACCCTGGAGGGACTGCTTATAACTGCCTAGAAATACTTCAGATTCCCTAAAGCCAGTTTCCAGTAAAATACTCCCTCCCAACATTCCTTAAGAAGTAGCCAACAGGTACAAAGATTTTATAAGCAAAAAAAAAAGGCAAGGTAGATCCAACCCCCAAGATTCCTGTTTCCCCTCTTGCTTAATGTTTTCCTGTTTTTTAAATTGAGAACCCTAGTGCATAGAAAAGCAATCTATAAATACTTTAAATAAAAAAAAAACAGTGCCTGCATTCTATCTAAATTAGGGGTAACCAATCATTTCAGGCTGTGGGCATGTTTGGCAATTTGAGAAACAGTTGTCAGCTGCAGCACAAAATGGCTTCCGTGGATGGATCCTCACTTGCTAAAAGGACGCATAACCTGCTCCATACACTGAATACAAAGTGGAAATGTGCTTTGAGGCCCCACTCCACTAAAAACCCCTTTGAACTCACAGTTTTCATCATCCTTTACACAGCAATCCGTTACTGGTGAGTAAATCTGTTGTTTAAAAAAGAAAAAAGGGGAGGGGGAAAGCACCTTGGTGGGTGCCAAGAAAGTTGTCTGGGAGACCATTGGTTCCCCGCCCCTGCTTTAAAGTGAGGGACCATGTCATGGCATTCCTGTTCTTACAGTGGAAAGTAGTCGTGGTTAAAGCCCCTCAACATGATCAATCCCAAATACTTTTTTCTAGTTAAACCACTTGCTTTTTTCAAAACAAACAAAACAATAGCACACATTATACACAAACCAATCTCGACCATTGAATACGGAAGCAGCCACTTCTTGCATGCACAGCTGGGCAGAGCCAGGGTCTCTTGCACAGAGGATGAGCTTTGCGAACTTTTCATCAGAAGCCCCTGATGATAAGTGAGATGGCTTTGGGAATTTTTCTACATTTAGCCTTGACTCCTTTAAAAGGATTGTTCTCCAGGATCATATTTAGCTTGGTTAAAGGAAAGACATCTGTTGGTTGCACTCATTTCTGAAAAAGTCTCTGCCTTAAGTTGTTCTTCTTTGAAAAGGTTTTAAAAAGAGACAAGAGACAGTGAAATTAACAAGTCACTAGGTTCAAACAGAATATGCTTAACAATATTTAAATGTGAAATTGGTGATCTACTGAAAAAGCAGAGACATCACCCTGCAGACAAAAGTGCATATAGTCAAGGCTATGGTTTTCCCAGTTGCAATGTATGGCTGTGAAAGCTGGACCATAAGGAAGGCTGAGCACCGAAGAACTGAGGCCTTTGAATTGTGGTTTTGACTTTGACCCTTTTGGCTCTGGCCTCTTGGCAGAGCAGCAGAGGCACAGGCTGGGAGAGAGCTCTGAGTGGCCAGGGGAATGGCGAAGACAAGGCAGGAGCTGGGCAGGGGAGCAGAGGGCCAGGAGCAGCGGAGA